AAGAAATATTTCACTTTCGGAGAACAAGAAAAATAGATTTATTTGCATTATGCTTATTTGTACAGTTACTCAGTGTCTGGTAAGTTAATGTTCAAGAAAAAATACTAATTTTTATTAAAATGTTCTATTATTTTATGTTAACGACTCATTTATTTCAGCCCTTTGTATTCAGCATGTCTTATTGAAATAAATCTACGTTTCTATGAAAATTGAAGCTTTGGGTTTTTTTTGCGGCCCACAGAAACTTACACCTTGATTATTTGGCCCGTGTTAGCCTTTGACTCTGACATGCTTGTCCTACAATATGCAGGCTCTCCTAGCACTATCTTCTGATGTTCTGATGGCGGTGCTCAATGAACTGGAGAGGAAAGAATGCACCATCCCAGCTCCCATTACCACCTTAGGGCAGCCCCAGTGCATCAGTGCGGTTCATCAGTGCAGTTCTAGTCACTAAAGCCAATGGACCCTATTCGGGCTTTACCATGCCTGAGACTTCCTTGAACTTGACATCTTTGACCATTTTCTCCTTCTTGAATGTTTTCCCCACTTGGTTTCTTTTCAAGGTTATGTCCTCTCATGTAGCATGCGCAGCTAATGACTGGCTTTTCAGGGATACAGAGGCCAGCTATCTGGTTTCAATTTGGGATTGCTCAGTCAGGCCATCCTGTTCCCCCCCAAGAGGAATCAAAGCTTCAGTTTGCAACTCAATTTCAGGTCACCTTCTCCTTCAGGCCAGTCTTTCTTTCCTTACAGCACCCTGCCTGGCATATTCTAGATATTTACAGAACTTACCTTTTACGCTAACAGTTTCAAACATACTCTTGATTTTGCTTTTGATGCTTCACTATCTCTCCCGAATCTGTGTCAACAGTATCATATCAATTCCTATCTACCCTCCTGCCATCTGCCTGTGACCGGTTCCCCCCTCATCATGCACCTCACATCTCAGACAGTCATAGAGTCTTACCTTTTGGATATTGTCAGTGATGCTAAAGCCGTCAACGAACACATGCCCAGAGGTAGCGGTCTCTTCTCCAGTCAAAATTTGGAAGGTGGTAGTTTTTCCAGCTCCGTTGAGTCCAAGCAATCCAAAGCACTCCCCCTTTTGGATTGCAATGGAGATATTTTTCACAGCCAGAATGACTGGACACTTAAAATAGATCTAAAAAAAGCAATATAGTAAAGAATATTTGTAGGTCAAGTAAAACAACCCCATGGACTACTATCTTCAGACAATAAAAATTCTTCCATTACACTGGGAAATAGACACAGACCCCGAGGAAGCATAGTGAGCCCTGGACACCAGTGGCACGCTCTGGGCTGGCAACGAGCCAGCTTATGCCGGACAGTGAACGGTGTTACCTTTATGAGCTCCTTAATAAGCACTGAAGAGTTCAGCAGCTCCTGCGGCTGCTCCAGGATCCTCTTTCTTTCATTTTCTACGTCTTCATCTTCACATTCCCCAGATAACTCCTCAGACACTTTCCCCTGTATTTTCAAGACAAAAGTTACAGAAGTGGATACCCTTTAGACCTCTGGTCTAGACTGAATGGCTTCATGAAACCTAACCTGGAGGATAATCTCAAAGATGTCAAAACTGCAGGTTGGAGTCAATTCAAGAAATTTCTGGATATCAGCTCAGCATCCCATGTACACTTTGACTAAGTTTTAAATAATAAACAGTTCATCACTAGAAGGAGGGGGTAGCCCAGGGGAGAAGGAAAGGTTATTTCATATACTAGAACGAGTGTGAATTAACATGCTAATTTGTGAAATTTAAATCTTTAAAAGACAGAATTTAAAATATTCAGGTAAATGGGTGTGGTTTTTTTGTTGTTTGTTTTGTTTTTATCACTCGGATTCTTAAGAAGGAAGTTATCTCAAGAGGATAAAAAACTCTAAAAAATACAGTCATAAATTTTTAATAATAAATAAATTTTGCCAAAAAGAAACAGTGAGAGCTAAAAAAATCAGCAAGACTTAACTAGACTTTTCTTAAGCCCCCTATGCTCTATATTTTCAAGATAGATATTGCAAAATAACTGTTAGGTCTGACTGAAAAATTGAATCCATCGCCCTTCTCCAGGGAACTGACCTTTCGGCCACTTCACAGCCGACATTCCCTTTGGCTTAGACCACATTCTGTTTCGCTCAGACCACATACCACTTGCTAAGATTCTTCTTCTTCCGCCTCCGGATCTTCCTAGGGATCTGGACCCTCCCAGAGAATTCTCCACCCAGAAAAAACCTGCCTAGAGTCCTTTAAAATCTCTGACTTCCTGTCCATGGGTGCTGATGCCATTATGGGGCTCAGCCCATCTGGTATCAAGATGATCTAATAAATTCATAATCCCTTAATACATTTTGCCTCCTGCATTTCTCCTTTGGCGACCCTAAAATTTGGTGCCAAAACCTGGGAGGGTTCCATAAGGAAGGGAAGCTGTAGGGAGCTGCTCTAGGGTCAAGCCTCAAGCTAACCTATGGAAGGGCCACAAACAAGTCCCAGCCTGGAGGGCAGAGCTCTCCTATTATAATAACGCCTGACCTTGTAGCCCTCCCTAATTCCTTCCTAAGTAGCTAATTGGCTGTGGGAGGTGCTGCAAGTGTTGCCAAAACAAGAACATCTGTGTGTACATGTTCATCTACCCTTGTTTTAATCAGACTATAAAATAAAGGATCATCTTGCAGGCTGGGTCTTTTCTGTCCTCATCCAAGCATGGGAGATCCACCGAGCCCCAGCTATATTCTCTTGTCTGTCTTTTCTTCAATCCTTCACCACCCCTCCCCTCAGGTTCACCCTTGGCTGTGCTGATGCAGCATATGTGGTGCCCAATGTGGAGCCTGAGTATGGGAGGAACTACAATTACAAGGTGAAAGGACACTCCAGTGAATCACGTGCAAAAAGCAAAAAGTAAGGTAAGGAGAGCAGTTTACGCAGTTTAGTAATAGCTAGGTGTAAAAAATGGAAAATTCAGGATCGCAGGAAAAGAACTTATATGTATCTATGCTTAAAGCTATGCTCCAAGGAAAGGAAGATGGTGGCATAGGTAAACACCTGAACTTGCTTCCTCGCCAGCCACATCAAAATTAAAACCAAAGACAAAATGGATATCATCCAGAATCACGGGAAGGGTGGCTGAGTAGAAGTTATACAACTAGAAGGAAAGAGAAAAGTGCACTGAGACTGGGAGGAGGTGCGGAGGTACAGAGGTGCATGTGGAAACGGGCTGGTAATTGGGTATGTGGTTGTCGTTTTCAATCAGGAAGGAGATACAAGCTCCTGACTGCTCTGAACTCCAGTTCTAGGCGAGACTCTGGGGACCCAGACTCATACAGGGGGAAACTGGACTGTCTGGCGTTGGGCCGGAACACGAGGGTGGTTTTCTCTCAGAGGTGCTTGCAGTGATCATTGTTCCTGCATGGTGCCGCGGGACACAGAGACCTCTTCGGGGCAGGGCTGATGGGCAGCCATTGTTGTTTGCTCTGCCCTGGTGATTCCCTGGGACCCTACCCCACCCAATTAACAACCCTACTGAAGCTGTTTGCAGACTTTTGAATATTAATGGCCTGGCCTTTTGCAATCTAAAACCTAACAAACTGCATCTGGGTCAGAGAGCCCAAGAGCTTCCAAAAGAAGGCCCAAGGCTTGACAGCAGCTTGCATTGCTTTGAAGCTGGGCCTCATCTGGGCACCTCCAAACCCCAAATAAAGAGGAGGAATCTGCAGATCTCTCTGTAGTTCCTGCTGGGTGGTTTCAGGCAGTGGCTGACTTTGCACCTCCTTGGAGATCCAAGAGCCAGTGTACCCAATGGTCAGAGTGAGACCATCAAGATTACAGCTCTTCACATCCATAAGAGACACACTCAGGGGGTAGACTCAGTGAATGCCAAAGCCCCACTGAAGCAAGTCCTGCCCCATAAGGGTGTCTCCAGCACAGAAATTCTTCCATTGTAGACACAACTGGTCCTCACAGCCAATTGGCCTGGAAGTCAATTCTTTCCAGTGATAAAAACAGCAATCAAGGCTTAACTACAACAAGACTGTGCACACAGCCCACAAAGTGGTGCACCAAGAGTGTCCAACCCAGGTAATTGGGGAGGCTGAGCCACTGGGCCCCATAGGACATCTAGCACACAAAGCCACTCTATCAACACAGGGAAGCAACCAAAATGAGGACACAAAGAAACATGTCACAAATGAAAGAAATGGATGAAAGCAAACTACTGGATATAGAGTTCAAAACCATGGTTATAAGGTTACTAAAGAATCTTCTAGAAACCTCAGAGAAATTTAGTGAGACCTTCAAGGATATGAAAAAGGACCAATTAGAAATTAAGCATACACTGACTGAAATAAACAATAATAT